GTTAATAAATGTTACATTACAAAGAAAACAATTGCATGGTTCCTCAAAAGAAAAAAATTACAAAAAAAAATTTTTAAATGATATAAAAAATGTTCACCAAAATACATTTTTTCCTTTTGGGTTTTAGTAAAAATTGGTTGAAAAGAGAAGACTACGGTGAATTATGAACATTAAATTCCAATTTTGCACCACTGTGTGCTGGCTTCGGCGTGCAGTATGAATTATGGTAAACGCATTTTGGCAGTAAAGGATGGCGAAGTCCTTGAAAAGGATTTGGCCTCATTTTTCGGAATCGGTTAATTAACTGGTAAATATTCGATTTAAATTATGATATGGGTAAGGTACTTCTATCATACAAGTTGTATGTACGTATTCCCAAATCATTTGAAAAAAATTTCCTTTATTTTACGTTGGTCAATATGGCCACCGTAGTGATGACAGATAAATCCCAGATGGGTTTAAAAAATAACGAACGTATTTTTGTGCAAATTGCGGATAGAGGGTATTGAATATAAGGCCTCGATATAGGTGACAGGTAATAAGATCAACGGAAATAAGGTCAATTGACTTTATATCCCACCCTGGTGCGAAACAGAGTCAATTGACATTATTACCTTTTTAGAAACGAAAGAAAATCCGTTGGCATTATTTCTCTTTCAAACATTAAATTTGCTTAGCTTCGCGGCGGCTCGCGTCAGCGCGCCACACCGAACGCCACCGGCGCGACCGGCGCGCACACCACGTCACGCTACACCGCGGCCCCCTTCCCCGTCACCCGCCGTGCTGTAGATTTATTTTTTGTATACGTTGAAATAAAATATTTATATATGTTAAATATCGAGGGCTTATATTCAGTAATACCCTCTATCTGCACACTTTTCACAAAGATGAGTTTCTGATATAAAAATCCCCCTAAGTTTTAACTGTCATCGGTGATATTAATGCTACTTTATATAACGACAGGTAATAAGTCCCAGATGGTTTCTAAAATCACAAGTTAGTTTTTCTGTAAATTTCAGATAGAATGAATTCAAGCCCTCGATATTTTACATTTTTATATTTGTAAGTTATTGGGAGCAGGGATGCCAACTTGGCTCAAACTGCCATTTGTCCCTATTTTACTTCAAATGGCACTTAGTCTTTCAATTTCGCACAAAGTGCCAAAATGGCGCTTTTGTAAAAAAATAACATTTCATTTTTTTGTGAAATCCTTTGCGTGCACTTCTTTTTCTCAACTAAAATTTTCTAATTTATAAAGGCTATTCAACCGGTTTATCTTATTTTATCATTGCACTTTTGTTTTTAAAATGTGGCTTTATTTTATTGCTAAATGTGAATGATTAAAAGGAATGACACCTTTTTGGCACTTTTATTTCCTATTTGGCACTTTTTTATCCTCAATATGGCACCTCATAACTAAGGATAGTTGGCAGCCCTGATTGGAAGATTTCTGCTGTGTTTTGGCAGCAACTTGTCTGCAGTAAAAAAGCATATAATTTGTGTTTCAAAAGTGTGTGAAAACCAATCAATTAACTTATATGCTCTCGGCTCCCATATTATTTATTTATTTATTTATTTATTTAATTTAATTATTAATAACACTGTGAGACAAATGGTAGGGGTCAGTGATCGGGAAGGGTTCAAACTACCGGGGAAAGTTATATCGGTAAAAAAGAAGTTATACGTGTCCCGGCGTTTCGCTGGGTCACGTCTAGGAATCGAGATATATATATAACACTATCATATAGGGGAAATTGCCACCTTTGGTGGTCTTTTTTTGACATAACTCGAGAACCACTACTAGTCCGATTTTGCTCAAACAAATTTAAAAAAATTAAAAATTACAATTCTTTTAATCTGTTCATATAACGTTTTTCTATATAATCGAGTTATGTCAAAAAAAGACCACCAAAGGTGACAATTTCCCCTATATGATAGTTATATATATATCTCCATTCCTAGACGTGACCCAGCGAAACGCCGGGACACGTATAACTTGTTTTTGACCGATATAACATTTCCCATTGGTTTCATCCCATCCCGATTTTGACTGTCGCATAGTGTAATCAACAATTGTTTATACCCACATTTTGGCACATTGGCTCGTTGAATTTACCATCTAATAAATAGTGTCGTCGCACAGTGCTTCCCTTCCATATAAAATGTGGACAAAAATAGAATTATGGACGGATTTAAATGAAAATTCGCCTCTTAGTGAAATTGAGGACGCTAAATTCAAAAATGCACTGTAAATGCAGTTTGAAGTTGAAAATTTGGGTTCTTGTGGCTTTACATAGGTATGTACATATAGTTCGTTCTATTTTCCAAAGTGAGGTGTGAAATGACAGGGCTTGGCCTGTAGATGTGCAATAAAGTTTTATATTTTTGAAAAGGGTTGCCACCTTTTACAAATTTTATTAAAATTATTTAATAAGTTAAATGAATTAGATATTACAATATGGGTATCAATTGAACTAGTTTTGAAAATACTTTACCTCTAAATGACACGTAGAAGGGTTGCCACATGTTTAAAAAATCAAATTCACTTTAATTAAGGAAATAATGTAACTGAAATATGTATATCAATATGAGTATAAGACAAATGAAAAAATTTGACATATTTAGCAAGAAATAAGTTTAGAGTAAATTTAAGGGTCCAGTAATTTGAAAAGAATGTAATCAGAACAAATCACTGATTTACAATGTATGTATTTGTACTAAAACAATAAATACGATTTNTAAGGGTCCAGTAATTTGAAAAGAATGTAATCAGAACAAATCACTGATTTGCAATGTATGTATTTGTACTAAAACAATAAATACGATGGCGTAATCCTCTGGTTTGGCGTAATTATTATTTTATTTTAACTAAATTCGACTTTGCAAACAGGTGGCAACCCTATTCGTAATATTTTTAAGCTTAAACCTTCTTAAACCTCATTCGTCTGACTCCCTTATGGTGATACCTATCTATTTCAGTTACCTAATTCCTTTAATTCAAGTGGAATTTGATTTTTTAAATAGGTGGCAACTCTCTACATGTAGTTAATATACATTTCGATTGATACCCATCTCTTTATAATTCATTTAACTTATAAAAAAAATTGTAATCCAATTTTTTAACAATCTAATTTTTTAACAGGTGGCAATTCGTTAAAAAAATAAACCTTCTATTGTCCACAGATTAGGATTTTAAATCTGACACTTAATTTTTGAAAATGGAACGAATCGTGCAGATCTCAAGGCACTGACAAAAAATGAAAAAATTTTTTTATGCAATAGCGAAAAAAGCATTACTTCAGAAAAAGCAAAAAATGAGCAGGTTTTTATTTCATTTCTTCTTTTGAAAGCTAAAAATCTGTACTATTTAATAAAATAAAAAATTACCTATTTTTACATATATATTTTATTCATTCCATTAAAATTTAGCATTTTTTGAAATTTTGTTTAAAAAAATAGTTTTTTTTGCAACACCGCACGGACTGTGTTTAATTTTATCCCAAAATTTTAATTCCTGTAATTCTCTACTATCTATATGGAAACAAGCAACGTCAAACCAACATTTTATTCTAAAGAATATATTTTCAACATTTTCTTCTGTGAGCTTACGCCTGGCTATGCGTTTATTAAAATTCTTAGTATAAAATTTGTCGACTTTAGTGGCTTCCTGGCGGCATATAATTATTGTTTTAGGGAAATGGCTGTTTAATTCTTTTCAGTGGATAAATTGTCTTTACAGAAAGACCACACAAGTTCACATTGCAGATAACGAATTTTTCGATTTACGCCCACTTAGGCGGCACTGTGCGTCGTTCCTTAGCTGCTTTTAAATGATGTCGTCACAAATTGCTGGCGGAGACATGAATACAGTGTAAGAAAATTCTTTTTCTATAATTGTTTCCTTATAGAAAGGTTGGTTTCATTTCCACCTTAGACATTCCGAATTCGTTCTAAATATGCTAATTTAAAACACAGAATTCTTTCAGTGTTCCTCCGGGGTTTTTGGACATGGACTGTTTCTTCAATTTTATAGTGTTCGCTTTATTTTTGTGGAAACGAAACATGTTTTGCAAGTTATGGATCATTTCTACACTCTTTCTTCAAATATTTCTCGTATTCCAGCTGTGCGCAGGCGTTTAGTTTTTCGCATCGTGTTTTTACATATTCGTAATAAAATTTTTTTTAATAAAATCAATTGGTGGTACTTCATGATTGTGTGTGGATTAATATCACAACACAGAGGATTTGGCAATAACCTTTTTCATCTATTAAAAAACAACACTTACGGGGCAATGTTTATTGTAACAACAACATTTTTTTCTATTAATCGACATACTTTAACCATTGTTGACGCTATTTCCATTTGAATGAGTAAAAAGCGTCAATGACTTTATTTCCAAATTTTTGTTGACTTTATTTCGCTTTTGAAAAGGGAATAATGTCAATTGACTTTATTTTGCCCTTGCTCAAAGTTGGTTATTTTCATTCAGTGTATTTTTTTATTGTTCATATAACCACATAACCAGATAACGTGATAATCAACCAAGTGTGAAGATCCTAAGTATTAGTTAAAATACCCATAAAGAGACCTAAGTATTAGTTAAAAATACCACGAAGAATAATTTCTTAGCGATAACTTCCAAATTACATGAGTTTTTCTGATTTACTTAGGGTTCGTTTTTCAGTGTCAGTTTAAACTTTGATTAAGTAAACTGAGTTTAAATGGAACAGCTGGGTGACATTTGATTAGCTGTTTCCTTAAGGTAATAACACAGTGAATGAACTTTATGTGCGAGAGTATGCTCCAAAAAAAAAAGCGTAACCTTTCTGATGTTTGAACCAATACTTATCGTATGCTACCAAATTTCCCTGACGTGGAGTTTTGATTAAGCCGTTAAGCTCCCAAAGCTTTAATGCTAGCACGAATTTTGTTTCAACTTTTTATACATCTACTCATATATTTCTTCTGAGAAATTAACTATTCGTCGCCTATTTTGCAGATATTTTTCATACATCAAGAGAAGTTGAGGATGATCTGTCAAAGCACAAGACTTTGAAAAGTATGCTATGGTGCATGGACAATAAATCTAAGCTTAGAAAAATTAATTCGAATATGGAATTCAGCTTACGTGTTCAAGAATTTGTAGAACTAGTTCGGTGCGACAGTCGAGTGGAAGCAGTAAAACATGCTAGGAAATATTTTCAAGCCTTCGAGAGAACACAACTCAAAGAAATTTGCAAATGTATGGCTTTATTAGCTTATCAGCCAAACACGGGTAAGTGATTCAAACAAACAGCACAATTTAATCCTTAACTAACAGCGCTTTGAAAGTTACACTAAACAACGCGCCGCGGCAATTTAGTAGCTAGGAGCATCTTAAAGGCTGACAGCATTTTATTTATGTCGAAAAATAATTCAAATAAAACATTTGAATAATTGTGTTTATATTGAAACATATTACACTGTGCGACGGGGTGTACATAGCTCAGTGGTTAACGCTTCTGACTTTGAACATCGAATTCTACTTCTACCGCTTAGACTTTGTTGCTTTTTCAATTTTTCCTAATAAACAATCGTGGTACAAAGCTCAATAAAAATATTAAAAATAAAATGTTAACAAGCCACAATAACATTGACAAAAACCAAAAATTTTTAAAACAGGAAAAAAATGAGTATATTCACAAAAGTAGGAGCCAAATATAGTATAATTGCGGTTTTAATATTTCCCTATGACGTCGGGATTTTTTTTTAAAGAGTGAAATTTGAAGGACTTGATTGAATAAAAAAATAATTTAAAATATTTGGTGCATTGTGGAGTAACAATATGGGTATCAGTTAAAAGGAAAAATTCTGTAGAATTTAACAAAAATTTAATTTTTTTTGCACCAGGATGTTGAAAATATCCTTTTAAAACTTTATCCTTGACTATCCTTGGAAATTTCCAATATTTATTTTTGAAAAGAATATATGTCAAGGAAATATATGTAAACTACAACAGCTCTAATTTCGTCCTTTTAACTTTATTAGTTTTGGATAAAAAATTTTACACTTCTCTATAAGATATTGTTAGTTACAATATACATAAATGAAGATACAGATACTTGAATCGTTACACTGTACAGCACTCCGCTGGGTATTGGACCAAACAAATTTTGTTAATAGACTGAGTCATTGGTAAAAAAGTAATTTCTCCGTTTTTTGAAGTTATCCTCCGAAGTTGAGATGTGGGCCTTCGAAGTTCGACATGGGATCTTTGGCAAAAAATTATATTTTATTATTATATGTAAATAACAAAAAAACTAAAGATACAGTCGTAGACCGCCCATTGGTCTTATTTAAATGGTATATAACTTTTTTTTTTGCAAACTTATATTACAGGTGCTACAAGGGGGCAAAGGTCGGGTCTTCGAGAAATTAAAAACCTTATATTTCAAACAATTTTGAACTGATTTTTAATAAGTTGGTATCGTTGTAAACGTGACTAGACCCCCTTCTTCTCTTCTGATATGCATATTTGTATACTTTGCATGTAAAAATTTGAGAAAAAACTTTTAAAAGGAAAAATACCTTTTTTTATAAGAAAAAAATATTTTAAACAAACAAATTTTTACACATTCAGGGTTATCAAGAAATCCATCGTAGAAAATCTACGAATACGAAAATATTGATATCAGTGAATCTGAGTGAACTCGAAAAGGTCGTTGCAAGCTTCGAATGCCTATTAGAAATTAGCTAGTGCAAAAAATACAATAGACATTTATTTATGCCGTTTTGCTCACGTTGCCCCAGAAGTCGGAATGGCAGAGTGTGCAAAGCACTAGACTGGTAGTTGAGAGAACCGGGTTCGAGTCCGAGTCGTCAGGGAGCGGAGCATTTTTTCTTTTCTTATTTAATTTTTGTTTATTTTTATAATACATTTTATTTCTTAGTTTAGATATTTTAATATTTTAAAGGGAAAAATATATTTGTTTTATTATTTTTAATGATATTAAAGTAATTTGATTGTTAAACTATTTCCTCGCTTCATAAAAAATATTCATTCATTAAAGAACGTCTAGCACAGAGGTTCCCAATCTTGCTTTTCTCGTATACCCATTTCAAAACTTTACTGGTTTCGGTGACCCCCTGCAGCCCATTCTAACATATTTCCACATCTCATCAAAAAATGTGAAGATTACATCTAACGATGAAAAGTTGCATCGTGGGTGAGTTCCAAAACTACATTCGGGGTGGCAAAAATAAAAATAAAATATTTTATTGCGTTCTATTTATTAAAATAATGTGACTATACACTTTCAAGTTTTAAAAACACAGAGCTCGCAAAGCCATCAAAGTACTATCTCGCCGAGAGGAGTTATATTTTTTAAGAACACTCCATAAACTCCTCACATGTTCGGATCGCTTCTGAGTTTGCATGGGACGTATTTGTAAAATAGTTTATTTGTGTTGATGGCATCATTTTTATTTTTATCGCTTCGAGTTTTAAAGTGATGCGAAAAATATTCACCACTCACATTTTTAAAACACAAAACTTGAAACAACTAAACAACAAAGCTTTTTACGCCAAACTTTAAATTCATCACGTATGAAAGTGCAGCAGTGCGTCAAGAGCACTATATACCACTCTTAAAAATTTAAGTTAAATAGAGAGGCAACCATTTTAGTTCTTTACTATCGAAACCAGAAGACATTTCCGTGACCCCAACTTACAACTCGTGGACCCCCATATATTTTTAATGCCAGCGTTGACCCCGTCGAGTCTCCCATGGACCCCTGGGGGTCCACCTGGACCACTTTGGGAATCACTGTTCTAGCAGATGAATGTATGTATGTACATATGTGTGTATGTAAGGCATTAGTATTTTACGCCTTCGTTTACAAAAATATATGGAATTTTATCAAACTATAACAAATTTGGAGTATAATAAATATTTATTATTAACAATAATGCAGCCTTTCTTCCATCATTTTTAAGATTCAGAGATTTTGAAATTTGCTCCGACAGCATAAACTTGTCGTAGAATATCTGTATGAATCTATCATTACGAACGGATTCAGTGAATGCTCTCCACGGATTTCGAATTTACGTTCGTGGCCATTCGGATTTTGTGATAACACTTTCGTAGATTTCATGAAAATCGAAGCTACGATGGATTCTGTGATAGCCCTGATTGTGAAATATGCTTGCAATGTTTTATGCAAACTTTTTTGTTACAATTAATACCACAAATTTTTGTTTTATTATGCCTGGTTTCAATTTCTGTTGCGCAGCTGGTTCGTTTCTATATAATTTAAAAACATCCCTTTTCTCTAAAACCTAAGACAATGAATATCATAATAGTTACAGTAATGTATACGCAAATTATTATTTTTAAAATTACATACAAAATAACAATTTTGATTTAGATCCTTATAATAAACTCACTTTTACAACTAACTTAACAAAAATTTTGCGAGATACATTCAAATTTTTTTTTGGTATAAGGAAGGGCGCGACGCGGCAACTCAGCCGCATATATGTATGACGACACCAACTTTCAAATAGAAATATCAACTGAACTATATAACGCAGTAAGTAACAGCTAACTGTGAACCATGCTGCATCTCAAAACCTACAAAGCCACTAAGTGGCAGTGGCCGGCTACTACAATTGGTATTTGAAAACCAGAAATTAAAATGTTTACGGCTAATTTGCTACGGCGCACCCTCCGACGGGTTAACAGCTGAGGTGGCTATACAGAACTATCCTATTTTTGATAAACTTCACTTCTGACCTCGGGTGGCGGATAGTGAAGGTCACAAAAATTAGTAAAGTACGCAAAGAGATCTCTGTATCCAATCTATAAACCTGAAAGACTTTCATTATANAGTACGCAAAGAGATCTCTGTATCCAATCTATAAACCTGAAAGACTTTCAGTCTCTAAAGTCTCTACCCCTTACCACTGGTGGGGGAACCAGCGACTATAATATAAGATACTAACTTTTATTTTACTTGTAAGTTTAGTTTGTTTAATTATAAATAAAAAATATATGACAAAAGTTTAGGTGATATTATTTTCAAATCTAATTTGTTTACTCAATATTTCTTCCTCATATACAATTTGCTTACCCTATGTTGGTAAGCTAATTTAAATAAAGTTTTGTATATCGTTGGCTTAGTGTACACACGTGCTAAGTCAATTTTTTTTTTTACTTTTTAGGAGGAACAAAAACCCGTCTAGCTTTTTTTGTTGTTAATATTTTCCTAATCTGTAAATGCAGTTTGCTGTTCTGTCTGGCCTCTTTTGGGACTACCACATTTTCTCTTTGTGATCTTGTTCTTTTAAAGTGGACTTTGCCATTTTCTATCAACCCGTGTTCATTATTATTTTATTGTTAAATTTATTTCAAATATATTTTGTTTTAAAATGAATAATAACCTATTACAGTTCTATTTCATTGCTGTTAACAAAAATAACTATTTTAAATCATAAATTTATGTACCATTTATAAAGGAAAATAATTAAAAATAAGTAACTAAAGAAGTATACGTTTGGGCGAAACCGAACTTTATGTACCCGACTCAGATATCAAATTTTGTTGTTTTAGCTTTCTCTAAACTACCTTTCAAACGTTTCAAACGTTTTCGACAATATGCTGAGTTAGACTCAGTGATATAGACCAATGGCCTTATTCATAAAAAATAAAGTAGCTTTAAAAAAGGTTTATAAACAGAAAAATTTATGAAAACGTCATTTTATAAAGCTCGTTAAACCTACTTTATTTATTATGAATAAGTCCACGAGTTTGGTAGAAATCGATAAAGTCGTTGCCGAGACACACCTTTTTAGTCATAAAAGGGCCGGTGCCACGCCCAATTCCTAAAAATTCAACAGCTGTCTTATTTATTGTTAAGAGATTGTTGTAAGTATTAACTTGAAGTAAATTAGCGTCCTCAGTTATTGAAATATCGGAGTTTCCGTATTTCTGAAATTTACCTTTAGATATGGGTAGTGATGGAGAACTATCGATAGTATCGATGGTTTCATTTTGCCGCCACTATCAAATTTTTCTAAACACTATCGATAGTTGGATGTTATTCACATTGTTGGAATTGGACTATAAAAGATACATATTTTCTTCATGGTTTTCGTTATAAAATGTGTTATTCAAATACACGATCTCATTTTGTTTTACACAAGTTATTTTTGTGTATAACTTAACTTTACTGCCGGGTAAATTTATAAAAAAATATATATTTTTTAGTACTCTATGATCACGTCTTGTCTTTATT